AGCGAGGGGGCGAGAGGGAGAGCGAACAAAGGAATGAAGGGATGAAAGAAGGAAACAGCAGTGGATGAGTGTGGAACAACTGACCGCAACGGAGTTTCAAAGTAGCTGGATTGGTAGAGATATCAACAGAATGAAAGAATGCCATTTCAGAGACAGACATAAGAGGGCAGGTAGAAAACTGCAAGCTGCACCTCTTCCTCTGCTTCCTCTAGTGTTGTATGCGCAGTATGACCCTCTTGCCACAGAAACTCTAGTGTCCTGACAAATGGTCTTGTCCGCATCTCCCACCGTGTGACATTTGCCCACTGCACAGCACAAAGCCATAGAGAGAACTTTGGTTCATTTCATGAACGATTCTGAACTTCTGATTCATTGGTTCATTCAACTTGATTGTAACTGCGACAAAAAGGTATTTCTAATAAGACTCTTGACTCTTGAGAGAATATTATCAGAAGCAGGCAGTAATCTCATGCTGATCCCAGAGAGATTATATTTTCGGTGTGGAGCTGATGAAAATCGAATGACATGTGCCAAATCACTCTCTTCAATAATCATCCAACCACTGTGTCAAAAGTCTCACGCATTGCAGACGAATGTCCAAAACAAGACAACTACCAAAGGGTCAGACCAATATTATAAGGTAGGTAACAAGTGACAGCAATGTTGACCTGAACTCTTGCCGGACAGTTACGACGGAATAAAGAGCCAATCCAAAATAGGAAATATATATATATACACTAGATGACCTGTTGCGGCTTCACTCGCAAAAACAAAAATGACATGTGATTCATTCATGGTGAACGCAACTGAACCATGCAATCTCTCTCTCTCTCTCTCTCTCTCTCTCTCTCTCTCTCTCTCTCTCTCTCTCTCTCTCTCTCTCTCTCTCTCTCTCTCCTCCGGAGCCCACTGTTCTCTCCCTTGCTCCCACCCTCTATCTCACCATATTGATCGATGCATTGTCGCACAAGAAGGACAGGCACGCTCTCCGCATCTGTCTGTGAAGGGCCTCAGCCAGTTGCACAGCATTGCACCACCCAAAAAAGTTAGCAGAGCCTCCTTTTTTTTTCTCAGGTGCTGGTGCTCCACACTGCCCGAAAGAATTACCAGGCCTTTCCCCATGCGTCTGCCAAGGCACCATTCTTACAAGTGAAAATAAGCAGGCAAGCAGTGTCCACAAGGCCTCAAGGACCCCACTGGGCCGCACATGCCCAGAAGGCTCAGTGCACAAAACTTTGTCATTACATCGATCTCCACCGTTCTGGGCGGGATGGCACTGTGACGGCTGGTGAAGCTGATCTCACCCATACTGTAGGCAAACACAGATGGCCGCAATTGTGTGTCGATGACTCTTCGCCATCTGCATCACATTGTGTCCATCAAACTCCACAGTGACAGCCGTCGAAGACGCCAAGTTCATACGCACACCATGAACAAAGGACTTTCACCGTTTGTAGTGATTCACTGAGAAAAGCAAAAGCCACTAGATCAAAGTGTGAAATGTTGACTTCTTCTACATCGTGCCGCCTGGATTCTCAGGTCTCGGGCTCACTATTGACAGTTTCACATCGAGTATGAATTCAGCTGTGGCTTACTCATGGACTGTTGATCTTTTAGGGCAACTCGGTGTCAGACATTGGGTCAGAGGAGAAGACGGTGCATGGGTTGACGTCTCTGTGCCGTCAGTTGACGTCTCTGTGGCTGTGGATGCAGACGAGGGTTCTAATTGGAGATCAAGATTCAGAGTTTACAAGAGCTCTTCTTTGTGAGTTCATCATTTCACGCAGGTGTCTGAGGTGCGTGTGAATCTTTTTTCCTCCCAGGGGACAAGGAAACTCTCTTTCATGGTCGCCATGGAAATAAACATCCCACCATTGGATGTTGAGGTAGACACATCGCACCATTGTTCTGGTTAACTCATTGGCTGGCAGATTTGTCCAAAGTACCAGTGCAGCTACTGACTGATACACAGAAATCCTTTCTCTGTTATCCCATGATACATCACCAGGTTGAACACGCCTACCTGGTTAATCAGGAGAGGCAGGTCCCTGTAGCTTTGAACCCATTGAGCAAACATGTAGTTCACGATAGTCTCACTTGTCGGCCGTACCTGGCAAGGAAATCAAACCCTCTGGAATCAGCTACCACACACACGCACACACACGACCGCATCAGTGGAAAACCCTCCACTCGTCAAAAACACACTCATAAACAATCACTGTGTACTTCCTGTTAACATTTTCAAGTCCCTAGGCCCGTCCATCACCAAAACACACACCGACTCCCAATGAAACGGTCCGCCGCCGGCATGCTTTTTTTGTGGATTTGTATACAGCAAAACAAGACAAAACACACACACACACACACAATGTGACATGGCATGGAAACACAGGGCGGGCAGAGCCAACACTCAAACATGAGCTCCTGCAGCCATGGTCTTTCAACACAAATGGTTCCAAATCAAAGCCCCAAGATCGTGAACAGATGTCTAAGCAGAGGGACAGCAACAACTGGTCGTACTGAACAGAGGCATAGGCTCATAATATACCGATAATGAAATTCTCTGTAAATTTTTGGTGGAATGATTTGCATGAATCTTCTAGAAGGAGAGATCGGTGACAGTACAAGGTGCATCCTGAATGTATCATCTTCGTCAAATGTGTATCTTACCTTATTGTGTCTACGGCTTCCACGATAAGTATCCTTTTTTTTTAACCGGGAATTCTCAAAGAACCGGAGAATACTTGGCCTCAATCATCATCCACATCACAATCACCACCACCATCGCCAATCATCAATCATCAATACACTACCATCAATGCCACCATCATCATCATCGCCGTTGTCATCGTCATCGTCATTGTCATCATCATCATCATCATCATCATCATAGGGCACAAGCATAATCACCACTGTGCATTGCTCATCTGGCAAGTGTCAATGGTAATACCAAACGCAACTCACCACCAACTTCTCTTCTAGCTCCTTTCCCCCTCCAACAGTGACAAGTGCAAGCTCTGGGCTGAAGCCCTCCACATGGCTTGCCTCTTTCTCAATAAATGAATACGGTATGAACTGCCAAAGTTTCAAACCACCAAAACCAGTATCAGTGGAATAAACAAAAAAAAATGGAAGATGACCTCTTCCCACATGCAGCGATGGCAATGAAAGAAGCAGCAAGGCCAGACAGTACACACCTGTGCACACAGCATTGTTCAAAAACAGTTCCTAGCTGACAATCTATGCAGATTTGACATGCAACATATGGGCAAGAGAAAGTCGGAGAGAACCGAAAAAAGAGCGAAAAGAAACCAAAAAGATGGGGAGAAAAGGAGGCGGAGAGAGAAAACCAAGCATAGCTCCTAGCCGATAACATCATGCATATTTTATTATTTTTAGTATATAATTTTACATCATTAAAACTTTGTGACACTCTTGTCTGAAGTGCACACATCTTACCATAACTCTTTTCAAGCGAGGCCTTGTAAATCCTGGTCTGGAATCTGAAGATGAAAACTACTCTCGACTGCTGTTCTAGTGATACATTCAAAAGGAAAAAGATAGTTGTTGATTATTAATATATTTTTATTTTCTATTTTGTATACATATATTAACATCATCGAATGTCTTCCTTATCAAATTTTTCTTTTGCCTCGTCTAAAGAGAGGAGAATCTCTATGACTATTAGTCGACCGGAACAAGAAGTATACGGAAATCTTTTTTCAATATGTTGTGTTTTTTTCTTAATAAGCGTTTTAAGTCCAAGAATTTTCGCCCTAGTAATCCATTTGAACGTTCAAACCACCACTACCTTTCACAGCCAAACTCAAAACCTCCTAAGAATGATGTATGCCTATACTGCATTCTTTGGAGGCCGGGGGCCACCGGACCAAAACAGCTGGCCGCAGCAACCAAAACAAAAAAAAGTCGCACTGGCTCTTCGGCAAAGCTTGGCGTGCAGTTCTTTTCTGCCTTGGCAAAGAGAGGCTCGGAGGTAGTGGTGGTTTAAGTACATTGGACATACAGTCAACAGAAAAACAGACAGACAGAAAAAGGGAGAGACGAGAGCCAAGGCACGGGAAATAGAAAGAAAGCTAAGAGTACCAAAGAGATGAGAGGAAGGCCTCCCAAATCCTTTTTTTTTTCCCCTAATAAATGGCCTCCCAAATCCTAAAGAGCAGAATACAGAGAAGGGACACAGCAGAGTCATAAGACAGGGAAATGTGAGGATTGAGCCCTCAAGTAGGGGCCTTGCCATGATGTACATGTTCTGGGCTAAGGCCCCAGCAACCCTAGTGCCCGCCCTAAGTGAAGGCGGGCCAGCAAATCAACAAGAGCCCTCTCGGCCAACATTTCACGAAGTGGGGTCTATACAGTTGCAGCACGCCAGTTGGTTGGAGTGCACCGAGTCTCGGATTTCAGCAAATGCTGAAATGCCCAGGGCCTCTGAGTTAGTTAGGCCATGGGCACTCGAACGTGAGGCCGACAATGCATGCTGGGTAGAGAGGCCGAAATGCCAAAGGGAAAATCGGCCCACTATCTGAATCTGGCCGCAGGCCTTGAGAAGAGAGGCGCAACTGCATTGCTCCGGGGCCCAACTGTATCAGGAAGGCTTCAGCCTCTGGGTCCCGGTCGCAGGCTGAAGGGAAGCCGCCCACATGCTGCATTGGCATATAGGCAAGCAGGGCGAGGCAGCAAGGATCTTGGCCAAGGCTGGCATATGCGGGCACGCTGCGCAGATGCAAGTGTGCTGCGCTATGCAGAGCAGCGCTGCGCTAAGACAGGGCAGGCCAGCGCTAGGCGGTAGGGCGCTGCCTGCGTGCAGGGCACTGGCGGCCATAGCCGGGCCGCATGAGGGTGCGGGGGAGGTGAGGGCGAAGGTGATACTTCGGAGATGAAGGGCGCTGTGTGGGTAACAAGGGAGAGTGTGGGGAAGAGGACACGTACCTGGTGATGGTGGAGGTCTGCATTGGTGTTGACATCATCACTCGCTGGTAGTCAAGTTGTCTGGTTGCTGTTCATTGCTGTAGTTGTAGGATAGGCTGTAGTGTAGATAGGGCGCCTGGCGCCATTCACAAGAGAGAGCTACATTTGGGTTATGCTGTTGGTGTTGCCCTGTTGGGCATGGACATTGACTCACGATTCTTCTGTATCACTCTCAATGGGATGGTTACTCGGTTCCATGTGCTATCTGCTTTGGCTTTGAATACTTGGACTTCAGTGTGATTTTGCATTCTGGATTTCTGTGCTTTGTCCATACTCATGTTCCTTGCAGAAACAATGACAGAACCAAACTCCCAGCTCATCATGCTTCATGGACCAGCTCCCCACATCCGCAGCTGCACTCCCTTTCAGGAGCGGTTGGATGAAGAGTGTGTGTGTGTGTGTGGGGGGGGGGGGGGGGGTTTTATGGGGGGGGGCTTTTCGATAAGGGGGGGAGAAAGGGGGTGCTGCATTCCTTGAGTTGGGAGGACCCCCCCCCCCCCCCTCCCCCCTCTCTCTCTCAAGCCCTTTCATTCCACTTTTGGACGTGGCAACACAGCATACTTTCCAGTACAAAAAAAAAACACTGATTCCCACAGAATAAAGGAGAGGGGGGAAGGGGATTTCCCAACTCGAGGAATGAGTTGTTCTTTTCTTGGGGGGGGTGGGGTTGGGGGTGGGTTGCGGGGGTGGCACAAAATAAAAAAAGAATGTGTGGAAATAGAAACGGAAAAGAATAAAAATCAAAGGTCTCCCAAAGAACACAGCATTGGCAGCAGAGGGCACAGAAGAGAGAAATTGTGCTAGCACAGCAGAACTCCGCACAAGCTCTCCAACATTGCAAACTGTAACGTGTGAATTGGAGAGCACACCCGTAACCGTCAGCCACCAAAGTCAAAGCCAAGTGTGTATGGATGGGATGACTTCAGACAATAGTACAGTGCAGCAGCCATTCGTGGGGCTTCCAATTTCAAAGGATTATGGACATGACAGTTGCTCTGCTGGAAAGTGTGTGGACGGGGAATGCAGAGAATGAAACTGCATCCCTTGTCAGCTCCCCAGAGCAATTGGCCTATCCATAGTCAATCCATTAGCATGCACTCTCGAGTTGCACCCATCCATCCATCATCAACCACCTTATCGTAGTGCCAGTCTATTCGCTTCGGGATGGTTGCCAGAGTAAACGTAGTAGGACCCATCGTCAATCCATGGACTGCTTCCTTCCAATCAATGGCTACCGGAGCCATCATTGTTGCAAGATACAGCAGAGGCTTACAGAGCAATCTTCGTTGACAGATACAGCAGAGCACCTACCTGTGGAAAATACATGTTTGAATGGCCTGTTTCTTTGAACTTTTTATCCAGCCATGACTGTCCACACAAACAAGGTCACCCCATCAGCAATTCCACAAAAGTTAGCAGATATCCTGTGATGACAGATAGCGAAGTATTTCTTTTGTGATTCATTGAAGCATTAAAATAGATGGTTGTGGGTAAGAGAGACGTAGACAGCGCATATATAAATACAGCCTGCACCGTGGTGACAAAAGGGAAAGGGAGGCTACATGGCCTACATGGCCTTTTTCTCTTCAACACCCAGCTAACCTGCTGAGTTCTTTTCCTGATCCCCATCTCGACAGAACAAATGTGCAAGTTGCACTCGACCTTCTTCTGTGCAAGAATTTTCTAAAGTGGGTACCATGACATGAATGCCCCAACGCTGTTCTTGGAATGGTGCTGGGATATAAATGCCCCAAGGCTGTTCTCAGAACCGAACGTACCTGCCAGCGGTGCTCACCGTACCCCTTTATTTTCAGCAAGAAACACCTCGAACGCGTATCGCGGCATGAACATTCCAAGGCTGTGCAGAACAGCAAGGACCTGAGGCTAGATGCCAATTGGCAGGGCCGGGGGAGGGGGGTACACAGGGGCTTCACTGGGGATCGATTAAGACACATTGTTCAGCCCCTACGCCCTCGGGGAAGTGTGAGAATGGGCACACAGGGGCGTCACTGGGGATCGATTAAACCACCAGTACTTGGCCCATACATCAGCCACGGGGCGAGTTAACGCCCCGCAACTTCCGGAGGCTTGGGTTACCGGCCCTCAAAGACCAGCCAAAACAATTTTGTCTTGTTGTGCTGGCGGGTCGGCGCGAAACGGCGCGCAGCCCGTTTTCAGGCTTGGCATCGATAGCTGGGCCAAATACTGGTGGTTTAAGATGCATTGTTCAGCCCCTACGCAAAAGTTAACCATGCACAGGTTTTCAAGGGGGTTCTCACACTTCCCCAAGGGCCTAGGGGCTGAACAATGCGTCTCAACATCCATTATCCAGCATCAATCATCCATCGTTAATGCCAGATGCGCGAGGATCTGGGTCCTCGGCAGGCCTAAGGGGCCCCGGTTGCAGTGGTGCCCCGCGCTAAGTGAAGGCAGGCCTAACATATCATAAGAGGCCTTTGACTGTCAATTTCATATTTGGGGTACAGGCAGTTGCGACGCGCCAGTTCGTTGAGAGAAACACAGGCCGAGCAACCAAGACATTTCCACGGCCTTCTGGGCCTTTCCGAAGAATGCAGGCCCTGGGCGAGAAACGCAGCCTCATACACTGACAGTTGGGAGGCCCAACCGAAAGCGGCCCAGTAGCTGCAAAATAGCACGCAGCATCCTGACTCTTTTTTTTTTTTTTTTTTTTTT